AGGAAGGAAGGAAGGAAGGAAGGAAGGAAGGAAGGAAGGAAGAAAAAGAAAGAAATGAGGCACATGTACTGTCCTTGTGTCCTGACACATAATGGAAACTTAACAATTATTTGTTTCTTACATTTGCTTTTCAACTGTCTTCCTTGCCTGGTGCCCCCACCCCTACTTCTGCTTCTTATCCCTGTATAAGCTGAGTGTTTTCTGAGCCTTTTACTTATAGGCAGAAACCAGCTTTTCCCCTCCTCTTTTCAACCTTGTGAAGACAGATTTGCTTTTCCTTCAACCTGCTCCAGTCCCAGTGCTCCAGGCTTGACGTTGTCCGTAGCTACCTTCAGAAGTCCCTCCACTCACTCACCACCCTCTCCTTTCCCTTTCTGCTTAGACACATCTTTTATCCACTAGTCAAACAAACTCTTGTATAATACTTTCAGATACAGTCAAAACTAGGCTCCTCAAAACCCCATCACCTTACATCTGTTCGAACCCCAGGCTTCTTAAGAAAATTTGACACATCTCAGGATCAATGACTAAAACTGGTGTATACTGACCAGATAAAGAGTGAGGAGGCTCTTCTCAGTAATAAAAAACTTCAAAAGTGAAGACTAATTTACCCCTGGCAAAGCACTTCCCCATTTACAATTCCAATCTATTTCCACACCTTGTGTCAAGAGCACGACTGAGCAGAAATTACTAGTACCATTTAAATATAATGAAACCAAAGCCCAAAGTTAAGTGTCATTATTGTTACAAAGTAGCAGAGCTGAAACTTCAATCAAATTCTTCTGAAGGTAGAAGCCCAGTAATGCCGCAGACATTTTTTCATGGGCAAAAAAGGGATCTGGGGAGTTATTAAATTTATACCAAGATGTTTTTTCCAAAGCTTATGAGATGTACAGTCCATACCAACCATAATAGAAGGTGGCCCCACTTTTCTCTGGTTGATGCCAGAGACACACATGAATGTTTTGTTTTGGTTTTTTCCTCCCAGAGATTGGCTACCTGCACCAGATGATACCTTAAAATTCAAATGTGGCACAGAGCCTTCCCACTTTTGTTAAATTTCATCAAACTCCATAGCTTCAAAAGGCCATTTTCCTTGAACTTGCCTAAATAACTAATTTCTATTTTTGTATCTCCAAATATTGTAGGTGCTATGCCAACAGTAATTTGTCTTGTACTGTTAACAAATAGTGCTTTCAAATGCTTATATAAAATCCACACTTATTGGCTCATTTTTGTATCTATATTATGAAATTTTGAATTATTTGAGACGTAGCACATCAATAACTAAGGTATTATGATGCAAGACCACATGGATATGTATTTTAGAGATAAATGCATATAATTAACTCATATCATTTTTTTAGTCTCTAGAACTTTATCAACTAAATTTTCCTTCCAGATATATTTAATTTAGTCATTCCCTCAAATCAACAAAGTCTATTTTATTTTATTTATTTTGTTGTTTATGAATTTATTTGTTTGTTTTGCCTTAGGATGTTAATACTTGTTCTCCCAACACTGCTCAGGACCAATTTTCTACTCATCTTCTAGGTTTCCTATATTGTGGGAAACCTGTACATCCACCCTTGATACTACCAGTCAGGATAAGGAGCACCATAAAAAACACCCTGTAAGTTACAATGCTATTGCTATCGTGACACTATTCAAATATAGTGATTTCTTCTTTGGTGTTGTCTTTTTCTTGGTTATGTAATTTATAAGGCTTCAACAAGGCCTATTTCACATACATTGCTGTATCCCAGTGTATTGTTCAGTAACCTATATATCAATCCTGAATAGTATGTAGAGTCCTCCTTTATACATTCTATTCTCCCATTCCTAGGAATCTCTAGGGAATGACTAAATTACCACCCATGCTGTCCCTGGAAGTCAAGGCTGATAAACATCATATGTGCGGGTAATACACTCAAGAGGCAACTTCTAAGAACCCACGCTTCTACTGTATTACCAGAGGGGAATATTTTCCTCTTTGCAAAGCCTGCAATGTGGCTCAACACAACTGTTTCTCCATTTCTGCTAACTGGTTTTCCAGGCATGGAGAAGGCACATCACTGGATCTCCATTGCATTATTCATGGTTTACGTCTCCATACTTCTTGGTAATGGCACCCTTCTCTTTCTCATTAAGAATGATCATAACCTCCATGAGCCCATGTACTATTTCTTAGCTATGTTGGCATCTACAGACCTCGGAGTGACATTGACCACGATGCCCACAGTTCTGGGCGTCCTGTGGTTAAATCAAAGAGAGATTGGCAAGGTGGCCTGCTTCTCTCAGGCCTACTTTATCCATACTCTTTCTATCGTGGAGTCTGGCGTTTTGCTTGCCATGGCCTATGACCGCTTCGTTGCCATCTGCAACCCCTTGAGATATACTTCCATCCTCACCAACACCAGGGTAATGAAGATTGGGATGGGGGTATTAACAAGGGCTGGTCTGTCAGTTATGCCAATAATTATTCGTCTTCACTGGTTTCCCTATTGTCAATCCCATGTACTTTCCCATGCTTTCTGTCTACACCAAGATATCATCAAGTTAGCCTGCGCTGACATCACCTTCAATCGTCTCTATCCAGTTGTCGTTGTATTTACAATGGTCTTGTTGGACTTTTTGATCATATCTTTTTCCTACATTTTGATCCTCAAAACTGTCATGAGAATTGCTTCTGGAGTAGAAAGAGCGAAGGCTCTCAACACATGTGTCTCCCACATCTGCTGTATCCTGGTCTTCTATGTCACTGTAGTTGGTCTGACGTTTATTCATAGGTTTAGAAAACATGCTCCTCGTGTTGTCCACATCACAATGAGCTATGTATACTTCCTTTTCCCCCCTTTTATGAACCCTGTTATCTATAGCATTAAAACCAAGCAGATCCATAGTGGAATAATTCGCTTATTCTCTGTGTGTCATACGAGAGCATAACTTTGACTCATTGCTCTTCGAGGAATAACTCAGGGAACCTGGACAAGCTGACAGCTTTTTGGTAAGAGCAACTAGGGAAAGGCATTTCAATAGAAACCAACCTCTCTGCTATTTAGAACATCATGTTACCCTGCCTATTTACTGCTGAGTTGTATATGATATAAGAACACTAAGCATACAACACTAAGCAAGTATCTCAAGCTTCTAAATGATTTACTGTTTTTCCAACTAACTCACCCTTTTTGGTGAGTCTATGGCACCTGATATATTATTCTTGGATTTATGGTATGGGTCACCAGTGTTTGAGTCAAATCCCATTGTATTCCTATATGTTCTGCATGTATCGGCTTTGATATACCTAGCAATTACATCATTGACCTCAGATATTCACCTAGGTTCTTCACTTATGTGGAGTTAGTTGCTATCTAAAGAACTGCACTAAGTGAAGCAGTGAGACTTACCTTCTCCTCAGTTCAATATGCCAACTCTAGGAAAGGTATACCTAAGTCTGTTCACTTAAATTTTTGATAAACATTTATTAAATATTATTATTGATTATTTTGTCAATAATATATGTAAATAATATGATAACAGAGATATAATTATATAATAATAAACAGATATATATTTTCTCATCCAGGTGGTCATCATCTGGATGAATTAGTCCCAGGCACTGATGAACAGAGATATATATGTTCAGATAGCAAAATGGTATTATGATTCTAGATTAGAAGTATGTCATAGGTGAGGCTAGGTGGGTGTTCCTGAAATGTGCAAAATACCAGAGTTGAGAAAGATTTGGTCATGTGTGTCACTAGGATGGTGGCGATGCTTGTGACTAGAATTAAAAATGATCTTTTCTTGCTCCAAATATCTATCAAAGTTGATTTTGTTCACAGTCTAGGCATGACAGAAGAGTTCATGGTTTTATAGCCAGCCAAAGACCCAGTACCCATGACTCAAGTGACAGGTGTTAGAGTGAATCAAAAAGATACTCTCATGAACAGAAGATAGAATGTGAAATGCGAAGATTACACAAAAGGTGATCCAGTGACTAGTCACTTCCTTTCATATAGATGGACCCTGTCTCTGGGCCCTGTCACATTGGCATTCAAAGTGGTCTCTGAGAAATGTAAACAGAAATAGTCTCAGAGACACAGAGGAAAAACTGAGTGGTGCTAGTTGGGAGGGGGTGGGGATGAAGGAGAAGGGGAAGGGACGAGACAAAATAAATTGGTAACTACAATATGGCCTCAGGGATAGACAAGACAGTCTGGGGGATATAACCAATAATGTTGTAAATATTTTTTAGAGGCCAGA